GGAATAATAATGATTGTACATTTAATGTAATCTTTAGCTAATAAATAAATGAGAATCTAACAAAGTGAGGTTAGGCCGCTTTCATGTTGAATTAAATTGACCTATATAAAGTGCTTTGAAGATAAAATGTTGTATGCCATTCGGCCAAGAAGTGTCTTTTTGTGCTTCGCTCAATTGTAGGCCTCCGCTACGCGTCGGCCTCAAACTTTGAGCTTAGCACAAAAAGCCTTACTTCTTAACCTAATGACATAAATAACTATTACGTGGTGCTGGCAGGATTTTCTCAAATTATTTTTAATGATTTTGTTTAAATAAATACAGGAAACTAACTAATGTTTTTCTGCCGATGTAATTGTGCGATCTCAAAGGTGTAAAAATATCAGTCAAGCTTGTAAAAGCAGAAAAAGGGCAGTTTTGGCGCGTCAGAGCGGTAAAGTTTAAATATGTACTTAATTTCTGAAGAGGCTGAAGTGAAAAAAGAATAGAAAAAGGGTGATCTCATTCTAACAATCTATTCATGCAGTAACTTTCTTTGATTTTTTTCAAAGACAAGTGTTTTCAAAGGCATCAACCAAATGCACAAACATTTTAAACAGAGTAAAAAGCGGAAATACCTTTAATACGAGGAAATATCAAAATGTTTTTACAGTAAATTGGCTACTTATTAAAAGTTATACCAGTTATTTCATACAGTTTAAATTTTTTAGCCAGTTATATTCAGTTAAGAATTACATTTTTAATACAGTTTAATTTTCTTGGTGAAGTGTAGCCAATTTTCCTACTTTGTTTGCTCAAACGTTTTCCAGCTATTCGAGCTTCTGAAAGAAATCCATACAGATGGTGGATGGAGAGATATAGCTAATGTAAAAACCAGTTGTAGTTATTATATTGTTTAAAAAGTTTTTTTTTTTAACTTTTTTTTTTATTACTGTCTATTTTTTGTGATTTTAATTGTTTGGTAATTTAATAAATAATTTTTATACTTAATTTCAGCACATTTTTAATTACATTTTGCCAGTTTATTGCAAAATATATATTTTTGAAATTTTAGGAAAATTAAAAAAATTAATGTATTATATTATATTATATAATGTATTATATAAAAGGGGCGCACCAAAGAATGCTGCACGTAGGCGCCAGGAACGGGCCATGATTTATATTACAGACGTTAGAATTAGAATAAAGTAAGCAGAAACATAAGTTGCAGACGCTGAAGTCAATTGAACTTGTTGATGCGTATTGTTGTGCTAAAGCTGGATGTATGACGATAAAAAGTCAGCGGGAAATATTTTATTGGCTGTCTAAAATCACGTGTACTTTTGTAACGAAATTATTTGTTAAACATTAACAAAATACAACTTTTGGTAAAATATTTTCCTTTGTTAAAATAATACCAAACCCTCGTTTTCTACAAAAATTGTGTTAAAATTTTACAAAATAAAATTAACAAACTACAAATGTTTACAAATCTAATTTTATAACAGTGTTGTAATAATCGTACTATTGTCACACTCCACTTCGCGGTCGTTTCTGCAGCATTTTTGCATCAAAATTGATAAAGCGATAAAAGAGAATAATTGTATCACGTCTTGTATGTCAGCTTTACTTCGTAATGCACTTTGAATAATCTGTATGGTCTATGATGGGATATTTTGTAAAATATAAAAAAGACCAATTTCTTTTTAGACCAATTATAGATTTTACAAAGTTGGTGCTTTTTTCATGTTTACAGCGATAAAACAATTTGATAAAACTACTGTTTTTTTTGGAAATTTTTATATGTTAACATTAGAAACTTTGTTTGGTAGCTATGCTAAATAGTATATTACACTACAAAGAAGATAAGTAGATTTTACCAGCCGAGGACGAATTTGCTCCCAAACGTGTGAGATAATAGAAACTGGTCAAAACACACCTCCTGCGAGGTGTATAACATTTTATATGCTTTTTGGTCAATTTATTTTAACACTGACACTAAGTAATTTTTTGACATTAAAGGATGTCACGTAGTCTGCTATGATTTTGTCATTATTAGGACGTTGTTTACCCATGGGAGGTAAGTAGCTCATTACTAGGGATGGGATTTTAGTTATTTTACCTTTTTCAACAGATGTAACTATTTGAAAACTAATAATGCCAAAATGTGTTTTAACAGATTTTCTTTTATATGAACCTAACTTGTTTTCACCTTTTTTACCTTTTTTGGAGGTTTTTGCTTTAAAATACCTTTTTTATACTTTTGTTACCTATTTTTTAAACTTGTTTTCACCTTTTTTACCTTTTTTGGACGTTTTTGCTTTAAAGTACCTTTTTATACTTTTGTTACATATTTTTTAATTTGTCTGTTTATTTTCACATATTTGTCACCTATTTTTACGTATTTTTACTTATTTTATTTTTTGTGTTCTTTTTAAATTTTGCGCCAATATTTTATCCAGGGCGTGCAACTCAATGGTATAGAACTTTTTCTTATGGTCACAGACTGTAACAGTAACTTTCTTTACAGTTACCTTCTTTGTAGTGAGCTTATGTTCTGTCATAGAACTTCTGTGTAGTTTATGTGTTTGGGTATGCGGCTAAACAAAATTATAAACGAAACTTGAACTTTTAATGCTGTTTTTTAACCTAAAATGCTTTTTTTAGTACCTTTTAGTTACCTATTTTTCAGTTTTTAGTACCTAAATATCCCATCTTTACTCATTACCTTCCGTCGTTAATAGCAACCAGCCTTTTATGGTAAGTTCAACTTACCTGCTATAAAACAATGTATCAATAGACTAGTTACGATAATGGGAGCAGATAAAAAAATTAAATGAATTTTGACATTTTTAATTTTAAATTGAAAATGTTGAAAAATTTAATATTTGGCAAAAAAAATTAACTCGGAGGCTTCTTTTTAGAAAGCAAGTACAACATTGTGCGGCGAACTTAACTTTGTTTAAATGTGCAAACTTTTAAGTAGTTTTAATTATTTTAGCATATTTTGTTATTGTTTCTCAAGTTTCGTTTATTGACCATAAATACAAGTTTTCCCTGAGCTTTCACGGCCCAAATTTTTTATATATTTCTTCGACTTTGTTTAATCATTATTTTAGTAATAAATTTAAATGGCAAACTCAAACAATGTTTTTTTATTTACCTATCCATTAAGTATATATAATCATCATATATGAACCTAAAAAGTACAATACCAGCATTTAGTGTTCAATATTTAGCTATGTCTTTAAAAATATAGCTCTGGATTTTGTGTACTATTTTTTTCGTGCTCCACTGAGTGTTCTAAATAGTTTATCCGTCATTTTCTTTACACCCTGTATAATATAATAATAATAATAAATAAATGTTAGCCCTTAATATTAATACTAAGAGGTCCGTCATCTCAAATTTCTATTTCCCATTAAAATAACATGTTTTTTTGGAATATTATAACTTAATATTTCCAGGACGTATTGTTGTAGAAAATTGAACTTTCTTTATATTTTTTTATGATAAATTCACTTTTTTTAAAGTTATTTATTCAAGGTTAGAGTTAAATTTACATTTAATTTCAATATTTTCTCACTTACTTGTACAAAATAGGGCAATTTTTAGCAAATACATTTGTTATTTTAACAACTGGTTTGTAAATACGTGCTGAAAGTAGCAACTTTTTGCACGCTTGTAAAAAAAATATTTGTTCTAAAAATGCAAACTGATAAACAAAATTGCTTGTAGAAAAAATATTGTACCTTACACACGCGGAAAGTGTCTTTTTCGCACTCGACTGATGACCAAACGCGTTTAACGGCAGTCCTATAGGAGAGTTTCGTGGATTTCCAAAAAGCGGCGGATGATCAAGGTTGACTGGCCTCAAATAGGAGGCACAGCGCCACGACTAAAGGCCCAGACGATAGGCCCTGATGGGACGGCTGATCAAGTTCTTTAGGGCTTGCCTACTGAGGGGTACACCCAAGTACCGTGGAGGGTGAAGGACTTCAGGCCCATTAGCCTCACGTCCTTTCTTCTGAAAACGATGGAGAGGCTGGTGAACAGATTCCCAGATTCCCCAGGGAGGGGCTACTAAGGGACTCTTCCCTTCAGGGCAGCCACACCGAAAAAAATATATTCGTTGAGTTAACATTTGCCTAAATGTCATTTTTGAAAATGTTGTTTCAACAAAAAACCTATTGGATTAATCTATATTTTGGTGTCAAATCAATAGTCAGAGTTTGTCAAAGTTTATTTGTTCATTTGACAATTTAAAATATTGATCTTACATGAACTAATTGTTTGAATTAAAGTTTTTATCCTATTTTGATTTAATAGCTGGAATTGGTTAAATCAAATACTAAAATTGTTGGGATTACCTAAAAAAACTATTAGATTAACGTTTAGTTGCTGTTTAATCCACAACATTAAATTTGTTCATTTAACAAATTGTAAATGTTATTTTAAAATTTAAAATGTTAAATTTGCATTCATAAAGTTGCCTTAACACTCTAAGAATGTTAAATTAACAAAATTAGCAGATTGGAACAAATATCCTAATTTTGTTCATTTGACTGTTATTTGTTGTTCAATTAAACAATACAATTTGACATTTTTAGATGGTTAAGTAAACGTGCAAAAACCATTGCTTGTATTTAAAGTGCATAAAGAGTTGAATTAATATTTTTTTTGTTGTTTCAACAGCTTATTTTTTTCAGTGCAGCAAGTTTATCAGGTGGAAAGGTCGGTGGAAACGGCCTTACACGCAGTTGTTCTAAAAATACAAGAACAACTGAAGAAAAGAGGCTATGCGGTGGCGGTTTTACTGGAGATAGAAGGGGCCCTTAATAGGACCCTGACCAGTGCCATTCTTCATTCAGGAGATTGCCTTTGATGGCGTCCCTGTTATGAATATTCACTGGATCACAAGTATGCTCACAAGTACATGGAGTGGGTCCATGGCACGTTAAGCGAGGTGTTCGCCTCTGCTGTGGTGAGTAGTAGTTGAGGGTCCTCTCAGGGAGCTTAAGAACATGGGAGTTTTCGTCATCGCATATGCTGACGATATCCTGATACTGGCTCGCGGGATAGACTTAACTTTAATTCTCAGACTCGGTAAAGTATCTAGGGTTAGCCCTGGATAAAATGATGAGCTGAGAAGACCACCTTCAAAGGCAGCGAAAAAAGTGCTGTCAAATCTTTTGTACATTGCCGCAGGGCGCTTCGTTGGAGCTGGGGCTTGGCCCCCAGGTTGGCAGGCGTTAAGCCAAAACTAACCTTCGCGGTGGTTGTTTGGTAGCCGAAGGTAAAGCAAAAAGGCTGCGGGCGCAAGCGTCCCGAAAGACCCAGGTCAGCCCAGTTGCGGCGCTGGGTACTCTGCGGCTTAAGGCATTAGGTCTCGAAAAACAGGGACGTAAGCACACCCGGTTAAGATTAAGTACCCTGTTGGAAGAGTTGACCGGGTTCTCCTGGATAGGGTGGAAAAACTCCTGGAGTTCAGGCATCCAGTGCGACGATCATATGTAGAGAGGACTGGAAAGAGGGGGGGTCCCAAGTGGGGACGTCTGGTACACGGACGGCCCCAGGCGGGGGCTGAGGATGAGTTTTTCGTTGGAAAAATACGCTAAGGTCTTCCGACGAAGGTTAAAGCCAATCTGGAGTGTACCAAGACCGTAAAAAACCTCAACAAAACGGAGAAGCGAATAGCTGTCTATACGGTCAGCACATCGGCCCTGGCGGCTCTCGTTTTCAATCACTTTGACCTTAAGCCTGCTGGAGAAGTGCCGAGAAGCCTTTGGAGAAATAGCGGGGAACAACAAAGTTTCTCTGGTTTTGGTCCCAAGCCATATGAGCGTCAGGGGAAGCGAGGAGGCAGACCGGTTGGCTGGAAAAGCCACACAAAGTGAACCTGAAACCGAAGAACCAGCAATATACATCCCACAAGCATATGTGAAAGGGTGTATTAATAGCTGGACCAGAAAGAAACATACCAAGTTCTGGACCAAGTATGAGGGAAGGCAAAACGCCAGGTCCCTTCTGGTGGATAATCCTAAAAGAGTTGGTGACCTGGACAATAAATAATATTTAATAAGAGGTAAATTGGTCTCTATTTCGGGGTAATAACGGAACAAGGGGGCCTGAGGTACGACCTTTTCGACGTAGATTCTAGGTGCAGTATATTCAAAAAGAAGGACTAAACTACACGTGCTGACCAAATTTAAGGCACAGACAAGACCCAGATGGAGCTGCTAGGGATAAGAGACGATGGACCCTGAAGGCCACCCCAAACACAATTCTGGGCTCCTGGAAGAGGCACAGAATTAGGGGGTGGACTGAGGAGGCAATGGGGAGAGTGGTATAGGGGATCACAGAGGTCTCAAACGACAGGGACTATCATTGGGGCCTGTATGGCGCCTCAGGGGACCCGAAACCAGTTAATAATAATAATAATATTAATAATAATATTGCATTAGAATTTAATAATTAAAAACTTATTATTATAATTATATAATCTATTCAATTTTGATTTTTTTAGAATTAGCGTTAAGGTGTGTATGTGCAGTATTATTTTAGAAATGGATTAATAAAAAAAATCTTAATTTTGTCAAACATTCTACTTAAGTATCTTGTACTGCTGTATTTTTCTAGTGGTATTTAACTTTTAATTTAAATAGAAAATGTCCTTTGCTGCCGTATAAAGGTATGTAAAAAACGGCTTAGAGGACAATAGACGTGTGTTAAGTATATTCGAAAGGTTCATAAACCTTGTTTTATAGGTGAACCCTGTGAGCTTTAAGGCGCCATGTGGTTATTATCGCCGTATGAGTCTCTATCAGCCAATTTCACGCTGAACGTGACACAAATTTTTTATGACATTGAAATAGGTACGTACTGTATACTTAGGTACATGCTGTTAAAGTGTAATACATTTATACCAGGTTTGTAAAAAATATCAGTTACAACAATATTAATGATGACTTTACTTTTTTTTTGGTTGATGTGCGCGTTACTTCGGTGGTATTAAATAATTAATAAGGGTTATAATATTATTATTATATATAGATTCGGGTACAGCTTATGTCCTAAAATAAATGTTTTAGAAATGATCACTTAAAAAAATCCAGTAAATAGAAGACAGCTTTAATATTAAAGGAGTGAGCCGCTATTTAGTAATAATTTCAAAACTTATATAGGGTGGCTCAGAAGTTTGGAATATTGAGTGTAACTTTTGAGATACCTATCGAAAATATTAAAAAATTATTTTTTATAAAAGTTGTTTGATAGTTTATTTCAAATTTTACGGTGGTATTGCCAACTTAAAAAAATAAATACGTAGCCCCCCAAGGAGGCCAACTTTTTTTTAATTACAACCCCCTTTTTTATATTTTCATATTTTCTGAACGGTGTAATAATATTGAACCAATATAGGAATGATATCAGTTGTTTGACCGTTAAACCTTAAAAAAAATTAAATTTGTATAAAAGTATTTTGTTGTAGTTTTTTTGAGGCTTTACATCGTTTACCTTTTATTCATTTTTAATTCGACACTCAGTGTAATTTTCAAATGTAATAGTGTGCTCATATAAGGTTTATTTGTTACAAGAATTAAGTGAGGACGATTTTGATCGTAGGGATGAGTTTTTTGAAATTTTGATGGATCGTTCTAATCAGGATCCAAATTTCTCAAGAAAAAATTTATTTTCGGATGAGGCCACATTTATGCTGAACGGTTTTGTTAACAGTCATAACTGCTGCTTCTGGTCAAACCAAAACCCGCATTGGAAAGGGGAGACACATACACAACACCCTCAAAAGATAAATGTATGGGCAGGAATAATTGACCAACACATAATAGGACCATTTTTAATCGAGGGCAATCTAACTGCAGAAAAATATTTTAACCTCCTTCAGACAGATATCGTTCCATTGTACCCTGGGTAAAATAATGAAGTAGACGACACCATTTGGTTCCAGCAAGACGGTACTCCACCACATGTTGATTTGACTGTAAGGAGATACCAGGTATTTCCGAACAGGTGGACTTTTTTTCTGGGGTCATTTGAACTCAGTGGTGTACAAAAATAGGCCGGGCAATCTTCAGGTTCTTAGAGAAAGAATAGTTGATGAAATAAAGAATTTAAAAATCGTTTAGGCCACTGTCTTTCTGTTAATGGCGAACATTTTGAAAACTTACTGCAAGTACTTGGGGTAATCATATTCTTGTTTTTATTCTTTATTTTGAATAAAGGTTTTTTTTAATTATAGACCATTTTGCTCAAATATCCCTGTGTGATATTTCTAGGGTGATATTTCAAAACTGACACTCAATATTCCAAACTTTTGAGCCACCCTGTATATTTAGCGTACGTATGCTGTTTGTCAACTATTCCTTGACTGAAAATTAGTAATAAGTTATTACTAATAAAACTATTATAATGAAAAAATACAAACACGTTCTGAATGTATATTTTACCCATGTGGTAATTTCGGAATGCCAACATACACTTAAAATTACTAAAAAATATATGAGACAAAAAAAAACAAATATTAGATATAAATAAGTTTAAGTATATTGGTTTTTATTACACGTGCTTTATGCAAGAGTTTAAAATAATTTAAATAATTAAACCATTATCAATGTATAGATAAACAATTAAATGATTAATTAATTTAACAGGATTAAATCATAACCAACAAAATGCACAAGATAAAATAGGAAATACTACGTGAAAGCATAAATTACATAAAATAAAAGCATAAATTTATAGAAAATACATAGAAAATTAATATTGTTACCTTCAATAGTGTTTGTTAATCATTCCCAAACTTTTAGTAATAAATAAGTACCAAATAGTTATAAATATTATAACCATTTAATTAAAAATGTAATAAATTGTGTACTTAATTATGACATTTACTATTATAATAGGTAATAGTTATTTATGTCGCAACGCTAAGAAGTGAGTCTTTTTTTTGCTGAGTCTAAAGTTTGAATTTCGACGCGTAGCAAAGGCCTAAAGTTAAGAGAAGCACAAAAAGACACTTCTTAGCCGCATGACATACATAAAACATCTTTTAGGTATAATTTTATTTATATATAAAACGTAGAATTATAATAATTATTAAAAGTTTTTAACAGACTATAAGAAGTATAAGACTTTACCCGATTGGTCTACATTATTTTTACACCCTAGGAGAAAATAGCTATTTATATCATTAGGTCAAAAAGTGAGTCTTTTTGTGCTGAGCTCAAAGTTTAAAGCCCGACGCGTAGCGGAGACCTACAACAAAGCGAAGCAAAAAAAGACACTTCTTGGCCGAAGCATCCAACATTTTCTTTTCAATGCATTTGTTAAACGACACATAAAACGTTCAATTATAATAATCATTTTTAAAAGTATAAAGTGAAGTTGAATATTTGAGGTCGAATTTGGTATTGGTTTAAAGTAGTAAATAATGAACTTTTATAGCCTATATGAAGGTGGTGAAGTTATTTACTTCTGACAATTTTTTTGTGGCTCTAGCTGTTTTAGGAGTTATTTCTTGCACTATGTTTATATACATTTTTTATTATTTTAAGAGGTTTGAGAGGTACATTTTTGACAACCTTTCGATAACACTCTGTATTTTGCCCTACAACTTTTGAACCAAACATAGTGGTCATAAAAATAAAAACATTTAAAAGTGGTAAAAAAAATTAAAATTTTTTAGGAAAATTCTATTTAGGACAATTTAACCTCAAATTTCAAAATGTTTACAAAAAATTTTTTGGTGAGAAATGAAGGTTAAGATAAACCATTTGTAATCCCCCCACCAGTTTTTGAATGCATTTTCCGTGGCGGGTATTTCTTAAATTGCCCTTTTTTGTTTGGCCATGGTCTAAAAATAAATGGGTTATTAAACAAACCTAAAAATTAAATAAAATTGTTAAAAAACTAAAAATTATTTTGTAACAAAAAATTATTAAAAATACGATACTTTTTCATTTCAATGAAATACAGCTAGATCTAGCCTAGCTAGGTTAGGACATAAATAAAACAAATAAATTTCTAAAAATTAAACATAAAGCGAACATATATAGAAGGAAAATATCCAAAGTAACAAAAAATTAAAAAGATTTTATTTCAATTTTAAATATAAAAAAATCACTAAAAACCCAGTTAAACAAGGTAAATAAGAAATATTTAGAAATATGAATAGTAGATACTACTGGAAATCGTTTAAACGCTAAACTTTCTTAGATATTTAAAAAAAGTACATTTGCATACCTGGAAAATGCAATTACATGTGTTGTCTTTCCACTAGAAAAATGTTGGCCTAACACAATACAGAGAATCTATGTACCGCTACTCCATACAATTTAAAACACTAAATTACACGTCCTTTCATCCTTTAAAACGAGTTCGCTCGACGTCGTTTAAATTTATTTAGATAAAATGTTAAGTGTATGTAGTTTCGTGTCATCCTTAAAGTCGCATTTGCATTCTTATTACACAGGAAGCGACAACAAAGATCCCATTTATGATTTTGAGCATCGTATCGTCCGCATCCTGTGAAAATGTTGACGAAACGTAGAATGCAATTTTCATAGAAATCTACGCTTTGTTAACCGCGGCACAACAATATTAGCACAGACCGGACTTCTATGCAGTTAAACAAACCGTTCTATAAAGCAAGCAAAAATGCATGGACACTAAAAGTAAACTTCATTAGTCACTTTTTAGTGATTAATTTTTGTATGTAAAAAGTAAAAGAGTTAAAAATTTATAATTATTTTTGGCGCAAATAAAAGATTTATTTAAATACAATTAGCAAAATCGTAACGAGAAACAGATTTCTCCGAGCTGCGTCGTGCAACATCGTCAAAACTTTTGTTATTGTTTTATTAAAATTAAATTTGGTGATTCGTGAGAATCCATTCGTGTAAATGCCATTATTGATATTACGGTGATAAGTTGTACCGATATTGTTAATTTTTCATTTATTCGTATTTCTTTCGACGATAAAATCTTTCTTGAGGAATTTGGTGCTCCTCGTCCAGATTTAAGTAATTTATTAATTAATCCTGGTAAAACTAGTC